TTATCTCGTTTGGGGTCGCTTTGATATCCAAACAGCAGATGATATGTTCATAATCCTTGGTCGAGGATCCGTAGATATTTTGCTTAATTTTGATTATTTCACTATGCCAAATAAAAATAGAACTTTAACAGAATTATTTTCCAATCGAATATCAATGGCTTATTACTATTTCGAAGTAGAAAATCTTACTAAAGATAGCAAATTATTTTTCATCAATGATTATAATGGAATGATAGAATGGACAAATTCTGTCAAAACCATCCCAATAGAAAAAACTATAGGGGTCGGCCACGTATATCTAGAAATTGACGTAAGAGATTTAATAGCACACTTATCAATCACCAAATCTGCAATATGTCATCCTATTAAACATGAAAATGGTAAATTATCAATAGCAATAGTAACTAGCAGTTTCATATATGATGATATGTGTATGTATCCAATAGCAGACAATATAACAGATAACAAACGCAGATATGCCAAAAAACACGGTTATTCTTTTGTGGCACGCTCTGAAGAGTACACTCAACAAAGATTTAAGAAACGAAAATATGTCTGGGGAAAGATTGACGTTATTGAAAAGGTTTTACCTCACTATGATTGGGTTTTTTGGATGGATATGGATGCTGTCATTGCGAATCATGATATTAAAATCGAACAATTGTTTGAAAAGTTCGAAAAAATGATTGGAAAAGAGAAATTTAATGAAATTAGTTTTGTAATTGCTAGGCCCAAATATGATTCCATGGTAAGTGCGGGTGTTTTTCTAATTAAAAATTCCGAATGGAGTCGAAAGTTTTTGAGAGAAGCTCAGAAACAAAGAAAATATTATAATTATGGATTGCGAGAACAACTTGCAATGGCTGTTCTGATGCGAAGAGAGGAGTATAAGAATGGAGTAAGTTAATTATTAAACTGTCATTTTTACTTTATTTATTATTGTAAATATTTGATTATTTAATTACTGATTATATTTATTATAATCAATTTTAGGCACTTTATCTTAATGAAGATGACAGTACATTTAACACATATCCGGATAGATATATTCCAGGGGATTTTGTAGTTCACTGGGCTCCGGATTATAAATGTCCAGCGGAAAATGTTTTGGACGGTATTAAAAAGCTTAAAAAGTATGAAGTTAATAAAGAATACACATTCACTCTTACATATTCTCCTGTTCCTACGGAGTTGCTAATAGATCAATCAGAGGATCAGATTCTCCTTTAAAAATCATTTATCTTAGTTTTTAAACTAATCGCTTAAAGAAAATTTCATGCAATCGAGGTTTTGAACAATTCTAAATCAGTTTTTGACAGAAATGAGCAAAGGGCAAGTCAATATATTTAAATTGTTAATATGTTAAACCGAAAAAAAAACCTTTATTTCATTTAAATGGTTAGAAATTCAGTTAGAACATTTGGGTACATACAAGCAAATATATATAATTAAGTGAATAAACCAAATGTAAATATTATGGTAGAGTGAATATATACCATATATATCAATATGAACGTATCCATTATCGACTAACTAGTAGCCAGCTATAGCCGCTATAGCCGATCAATTACTTGATCAATTTCTATTGATTTTTTAATCAAACATATAAATAATTATATTTTATCCCCTGCTCAACCCCATCCACATCACATTTTTCATGTACTTATTTCTACTGGTACACGTTATCAGATTCTTATTTTTACTGGTGCATATTAGGGTATCAGTAATAGTTATATCCTTGGTAGTCAGATATAAGTTTAATGTAAATTCTATTTGAAATAAAGAATAAAATGCATAAGTGACTAAAATTTCCTGACTGTCATATATTGACCAGGGTATA